TTCCCAATTCAAGGATTGAACCTTCGTCTCTTGCGTTTCCTGTATAAGCAGGCAGATTTTTTTTACCACTGTGCCACCTGGGAAGCCTTGCTAAAGAATCTGAGTATTCATTAAGCATTTATTTTGCTGTAAAGAGTACAGATTAATAGTTTACCAAGAACTTGTTTATGGAACGCTGACTAAACAAGATGACACAGATCTATAAGGCCTTTTAACAACCTGTGGTTCCCGGTTCTAGAGCCACATGACAGGTGGGTGATCTAAGGATGCTGGACTCCATCTGTAGTCCTTTTGGAAGCACCAAGTCTTGAGTTAAATTGAACAGGAGTGACTTGGGACCCCAGGGGTATCGTGGTGGGCATATGAGATGCCAGATTTTGCACGTGGATGATTCTTACTACTCACTCTTTAGAGATGACAAAGCTTTTCGTAACCAGTGGCATGAGAGACAGAAAAGGGAACCTGGAAGATGTACATGGATGATCTTAATCCTCACAGCAGTGTTTCCCAGCTCTGCCTGCACACTGGAGTCACCTGGGAGTTTAAGAAACCCCAGTGCCAAGGCCACAGGGTGGGACCGAGGCACCAGGTCTCAAAGCAGAGAACCACCATCTTTGACACTGTTTACAAATGAGGTAGCGAGGGCTCGTCTGTGTCTAGTTGAACCAGTGCTATACTACAGCCACTCTTCATTCTGGTACCCCTGAAAGTTAGCTTCTAGCTTTTTAAGACCAACAACTGGTTGCTATGTTCAAGAGGTTTCTTATTCAGCTGGATGTGTTAAGCAGTGAAGACCTCAATTCTTTTTTTTTTAATCACAAATTCATTTCTTGGATATTAGCACACAAATGTTTTCAATACAAAAAGTGTTAGAAATTGTTAGTCGCTCAGTCGTGTCCAACTCTTTGTGACCCTATGGACTCTAGCCCGCCAGGCTCCTCTGCCCAAAAAATTCTCCAAGCAAGAATACTGGAGTAGGTAGTCATTTTCTTCTCTAGGGGATCTTCTTGACCCAGGGGTTGAACCTGGGTCTCCTGCATTGCAGGCATATTCTGTACCGTCTTTGCCACCAGGAAATTATATCCTGGAAAAAGAACTAGTAATGTGCTATTAAAATAATGCCTATCAATATAACTCAAACCAAATGGCCAATTGATTAGGTAATTACTGAATAGATCTAATTCAGTTGTCAATTGAAATAATAAAAGTGTTTCCTGAACTGGTCATTATAATCATCTTTTAACCCAATTGGTTAGTTAAGTCGCTCAGTCTGTCTGACTCTTTGAGACCCCATGGAGTGTATGTAGCTGCCAGGCTCCTCAGTCCATGGAACTTTCCAGGCAAGGACACTGGAGTGGGTTGCCATTTCCTTCTCCAGGGGATCTTCCTGACCCAGGGATCGAATCCAGGTCTCCCGCACTGCAGGCAGATCCTTTNACTGGAGTGGGTTGCCATTTCCTTCTCCAGGGGATCTTCCTGACCCAGGGATCGAATCCAGGTCTCCCGCACTGCAGGCAGATCCTTTACTGTCCGAGACAATTGGTTGAGATATGCATTAATTACAGAGTATTTTGTACTCTTATCCACTACCTTCACAACATGCACATAACAGAATCGTTTTGAAGACCTCAGTTCTTGATTGGACTCACTCAGTGGAGTTGGGCAAATTGCTTAACCTCTAGGGGCTGCACTTTCAAAGGGACATGATTACCAAACTCTCAGAGCTGCCTGGGAAGAAACTGTGGGAAGGAACGCCCATTGGAAATATACATGATTAAAGAAAAGCTGTCTTTAGAGCAGATTAGCTGAGGTCCATTGTCACCTACTTCTAATTTCAGAGGTGCCAGGACGCGAGCCTTGCTGCGTGACTTCTGATACCAGTGTTCCATTTTTGTTTCAAGTAGCAGGTTGGAGAAGGAGTCGCTAATAATGGAGAGAGGTGTCAGAAGACACTAAAAGAGGGCAAGGGGGCTCTGATCCTGGTGGCTGCCCCCATCCCAGAAGCCCTGCTGGGCCCCGAGTCTGTTCCTTGCTGACCCAGGCTGGGCTGGCTGACAGAGCTGAGCTCCATAGCACTTCACCAAGACGGGCGCCCTGCTGCTCTCCACCTGCACACCCAGACCCGGGAGTGGGGAACGTGTCTGCACACCTGGCAAGACGTCTACCAGACAGAGTCACTTCTACTGCTGACTGAGGGCTCTGTGCTGCAAAGCGCAACAGGTCTCCCCAGGTTTTCATCAGTGGTGGGCTCTCCCAGGACAGAGGTAGTGCTCTGCCTTCCCCGTGGGGGTGGAAGACAGAGGGGTGTGTCTGCAGCCCCTGGGGTTACGATGGCTCAGTGGAAGCACTGTCCCCTTGGTAGAAAGGCCAGGACCTTGCTAGGAGAACCAACCTTCTCCGGCCACAGAGGCCTGTAGTGTTCTCAGTCACAGCCCCCACGTGTGGGCAGAGGCTGATCCCAAAGGTGAAGAGAGTGAGTAGTATACACTTGAGAGCCTGTTTGTGTATATGTGTATACATACATAGACACATATATTGTGTATATGTATATATATATATACACACACACATTTCCTGTGTAAGTGCCAAGTATATAGCAGGTTTATATTAAGAGTATATATATATTAAGAGTATATAACTCATTCACAGTAATTTCCCTACATGTGAGCCTTCAAGTTGCAAACTTTAAAGATGCGAACGTGCATGTGGTTCCAGCAAGGAACCTGAACCCATGCCATCGGCATCAGGCATGAGTGACATGGCAGCTTGCCCTCCATCTCATGTTGCTGATGACCCTTCTTCACTACCATCTCCCACCTCCTCTCCCTCCTCCAGTTAGCAACTCTTCTAGCCTGTTCACTCGATGCCAGCACCTGTATGCCAGTGTTATACTTCTCAAGGTACTGTCCTCCTGTACTTCTCAAGGTACTGTCCTGTATGATTAAAAAAGTTTTCTTTGTTTTTGTGTTTGTTTTGTATGTATTACTTGTGTGAAAAGTATTATAAACCTATCACAGTATAGTACTCTAAAGCCAATTGTATTAGTTGGGTACCTAGGCTAATCTTGTTGGACTTAGAACAAACTAGACATACAAATGTGGTCTCTGTACAGAACTCATTTACATGGAGGGGACTTGCTGTATAATTTTGAATATATATTGATATCCATATTAATGTACCTTCGTGTATGATGTAAAGGCATTTTGCATGTGAAGCCTAATGGAAGGCCTCGGGTCTCGGATTTCTGACTCCAGACACAAGCAGGGGTAAGGACGTGGAGGGAATGCAGAGAGCTAACCCAAGAATCTGCGCTTGGAGGGAACTGGGCATTTCTTCCCTCAAGGGAGGTGATGTTGATGAGCTGAAATGTCCTCACGGCCACAGGCCTCCAGGTGCTCAGGGAGCGACACATAGATTCTATCATCTCATTTTGGGAACCACCTCCAATCAGAGGATCCCCCAGGCTCCTCACTCCTCACAAGCTGCTTGGACAGACAGAGGCCCCAGCATGGTGGGTGCTCAAGGGTGGGGCTCTGCTGGGTCATAGCTGACCTGCAGCCATAAATCCTGGAGCTGGGAGTGGTGAGTTCTGTGTCATCTCATTTAAGGCAAGAAAGGTACTCAAACCCCACCCAGGCCTAAGCATAGAGGGGACCATAGGGGCTTTCCCAGAGGGGTCCACTCTGCATGATGCAAGACAGCCTACCCTCTGACATCCCTCCCAGGGACTTCGGGGCATGACCGGCTCTCTTCAATGCACTCCCTAGCTCAAAATTTCTTTGAAGTCTCCAGCTTTATCTTCAAAATTCAAGCACCTTTTGGATTTTGCTCATAAAACAATCATTGGCTTGACAAAAAAAAAAAGAACTACTTCTCAGTTTAATGACTTTTTTCTCTTAAACCATCATGCAGAACAGACCCTCTAGAAAGACATGCCGTGCTTACCCTGGGGCTGCTACCCCAACACATCACTATGTACTCTCCTACGCCAGTGTGACAAGAAGCCTGCACCTCAGGTGACCTCGGACGCCTTCTCCTGACCCTTCTGTCTGCACCTCCATGGCCACCGAGGGTCTTACCTACGTCGCAGTGCTTGTCAGTGTGGCCAGGGGGCACAGGCGTATAACGTGTCCCTCCATCTCCTGGCGGGTCCCAGCACAACAGGGCTTCTCACACAGGAACTGGTGGAGGCTGCAACCCCCAGGGAGATGCTGGGCATCAAGAATGTAGCTGCCTGGGGTACAGCGCAGCCTCCAAGACCTCCAGGGTGGGGCCCCAGGCCACAGAAACCCACAAGGCTGGTTTTGGGTCAACATGATTTCTGGGGACTATCTTCCTCCTGAGCCCCTGCTTCTGGCAGGGCTGAATTCTCTGACTGGACTCTCAGTACACAGGGGGATGCAAGGGGTCCCAGAAAACAAAGGAAAATCAGCAGCTGCTGGGTTTGTGTCAAGGCGAGACCATCACTACAGTACAGAGGAGGGTTCACTTGCACAGAGTTGGGGTGAGGACCCAGGGTCCAAAGGCATGACACAGCTGAAGTGATGCATCATAGTTTCTTGAACTGTGCAGGTTTTAACCCTGCACAAAGTAAATATTGGCACATAAATGTCATCAGCAGATTCATTCTCTCCTTTCACACTCATTCCATGGACCAGGGACAGGAGAAGAATTTCCAGTACTATCTAAACAGTACTTCTTGTGCCAAGTACAGATAGTTGAGTTCACATATAAATGTTTGTGTGATGTAACTCTACTGTGACCGTAACAATTGTGAACCTACAAGTGTGTACTGTGTGCAAAAGATAGCCTCATTCTCGACATATTTATATCTCATTTACTCTCCCCTGGTACTATTGCTGTTTTACAGATGAGGCTCAGAGAGGTTAAGAAACTTGCCTAAGCCTGCACAGCTCACAACCTTGAGTTGACACTGCTTCCTACCATGCTACAGTCTGAATCACTCCGACCCACTTAAAGGAAAATAATCCCAACTGTACCTGTTGTGGTTGTCTCTGAATCATCTGTCCCTCCTGCAGAGGTTGGGATAGAAGCATCAGTTGGGGAGGTGGCTGTGTCAGCTGTTTGGCTCTCTTCTCCTGAGTGCACGGGGCTTGAGGATTCGATTTCTAGACGTGCCTCTGCAGGGCGCTGGGTCTGCTGAGTCCACTCGGATTCTGGGATGGTGGTGCTGATGACAATATCCAGCCCTGAGGTGTGGCCAGACAGGTCTCCGCTGGTGTCAGTCTTGTCTCCAGAAGCCAGGGGAGTGGTGGAAGGTGAGCCTGATGCCTCTACGCTCACGTCAAAGGTGGTGGTTGACTCTCCACTCACTTCCGGGGTGGCCAAGCCCTCCGTGGGGCCTTGTGGAAAGGCTGAGGAGCTGCCACTTGCTCCCAGGCCTGAGGCTCCCTCCAGATCAGCTTCATGGAAGGTGGAGGTGGTTTCACTCAGGTCAGGGGACCCAGAAGCTCCTCCGCTTGCCTCGGGGGCAGCAGACGCTCCCACCTCAGCCTTGGGATAGGCCGACATCTCACCGCTGGATTCTGGGACTGAAGACGCTTCTATCCCAGATCCAGGGAACCTTGGCACATCCCCAGATGCAGAGGCTTCACCACTGGATTCAAAAAGCTGGGGGGTGTATGTTACGGGGGGTCTCTGGCCCAGTTCCTGGGAAACAGTTGGTTCAGTAACACCCTCCACCAACTCAGATGTGATTAACGTAACTTCTGGAAGTCCGGAGGCCTCCCCACTGGTGCTCGTGGCTGCCGAGGATTCCCCACTTACATCAGTGGTGCCAGAAAAGTCCCCACTAAAATATGGAGTACTTGCAGGCTCCCCACTGGGCTCCACTTGCCCAGACTGAAGCCCACTTTGGTCCAAAGATCCCAAATGGTCTCCAGACATGTCTGGTGCTCCAGAAGGGGCACCACTAAGTTCCAGAATGCCTGAAGGCCCTTCTCCTGCTTCTTGGGCAGTTGGAGCCTGGGTTACAGATTCCACCAAAGTCCTGTCTACAAAAGAGACAGTGGGGAAACCAGACGGAAGTCCACTGCTGTCATATGCTCCGGAGGGCAGGCTGCTCCCACTCTCAGCTCTGGAGGCTTCTCCACTGACCTCAGTTACTCCGCTTGGCAGGCCACTGAATTCTGGAGGCTGGGACGTAAACCCACTGGAGTCAATTGCTCCAGAAGACAGTCCACTGACATCCACTAGCCCAGATGTGCCTGAGAGATCTGCCTCTCCTGAAGGTAGGCCACTGAGTTCCACAGATCCTAAGCCTTCTTCTTCTTTAAATGTCGTTGGGGTCACTTCAACCAAACTGGTGTCCACGAACGTAATGCCAGAAGATTCACCACTGCCACTCATGGCACTGGAAACCAGGTCAGGGACCCCAGATGTTGTCCCACTGAACTCTGGCAAACCCGATGGTTGCCCACTGAGATCAGGGATCCCAGGTGCTTCTCCACTCAGGTCAGTTATGCCGAATGGTGGACCAAGGCCAGAAAGAATTCCAGAAGCTTCTCCACTGATTTCTGGTTGTCCAGAGGGCAGTCCACTAAGCTCAGTCATGCCAGATATTTCTCCAGAAAACCCTGATGGCTGTCCACTGACCTCAAGAAGCCCGGAAGTTTCCCCACTAATGTCAGGAAACCCTGAGGGCTGTCCACTGACACCAAAGAATCCAGAGGTTTCCCCACTGATGTCAGGCGACCCAGATGCTTGGCCACTGAGTTCAGCTCCTGAAGAGAGTCCGCTTGCTCCTCCACTAATGTCCAACTCACTGAAGGGCAGCCCAGATGTTTCTCCAGCACCACTGATGTCAATGGTTCCCCTTCCTTCTAGTTCACCTGCTGTGGTGGCTGTGACGACTTCCACCAATGTAGTATCCACTAGGGAGACAGTTGGGAACCCAGATGGAAGTCCACTGAAGTCAGGAAGGCCAGATGATGGGCCACTTCCAAGGTCCACCCCAGAATACTCACCACTAAATCCAGAAGGAAGACCACTTGCTTCTGGAGCCTGCCCACTTCCTAGAGTTACAGAAGGTATTCTGCCAAGGTCCAAGGCTCCAGAAGCTGACTCAGTCAAGTCTTCTTTTCCAGAAATCAACCCACTAAGATCCCCAGCTCCAGAAGCAGAGATCTCCAGACCTTCCCTTCCAGAAGGAAGTCCACTAAGGTCCCCTACTCCAGAAGCAGAAGTCTCTAGATGATCCTCTCCTCCAGAAGGAAGTCTACTGAGGTCCTCTACACCAGAGGCAGAGATCTCTAGATGACCTTCTCCAGAAGGAAGAATACCAAGGTCCTCTACTCCAGAGGCAGAGACTTCTGGACCTTCTCCAGAAGGAAGTCTACTGAGGTCCTCTACTCCAGAGGCAGAGACTTCTGGACCTTCTCCAGAAGGAAGTCTGCTGAAGTCCTCTACTCCAGAGGCAGAGATTTCTGGACCTTCTCCAGAAGGAAGTCTGCTGAAGTCCTCTACTCCAGAGGCAGAGACTTCTGGAACTTCTCCAGAAGGAAGTCTGCTGAGATCCTCTACTCCAGAAGCAGAGACTTCTGGACCTTCTCCAGAAGGAAGTCCACTAAGGTCCTCTGCTCCAGAAACAGAGACTTCTGGACCTTCTCCAGAAGGAAGTCCACTGAGGTCCTCTGCTCCAGAAACAGAGACTTCTGGACCTTCTCCAGAAGGAAGTCCACTAAGGTCCTCTGCTCCAGAAACAGAGACTTCTGGACCTTCTCCAGAAGGAAGTCCACTGAGGTCCTCTGCTCCAGAAACAGAGACTTCTGGACCTTCTCCAGAAGGAAGTCCACTGAGGTCCTCTACTCCAGAGGCAGAGATTTCTGGACCTTCTCCAGAAGGAAGTCTACTTAGGTCCTCTACTCCAGAGGCCGAGATCTCTAGATGAACCTCTCCTCCAGAAGGAAGTCCACTGAGGTCCTCTACTCCAGAGGCAGAGATTTCTGGACCTTCTCCAGAAGGAAGTCTGCTTAGGTCCTCTACTCCAGAGGCAGAGATCTCTAGATGACCTTCTCCTCCAGAAGGAAGTCCACTGATGTCCTCTACTCCAGAAGCAGAAACTTCTGGGCCCTCACCCCCAGAGGGCAACCTGTCAATTTTAGGAGCACTGGTCCATGTAATTCTCTCTTCTTCCCCTGAAGGCAGTCCACTTTCCACAGGCAGGCCTGAGCCCACTGTAGAGGTGAGCCCACTGGAGTCAAGGTCTTCAGAGGGCAGTCCACTTGCACTTTCCCCTGAGGGCTGCCCACTTAAGTCTAGGTGTCCTGAAATTTCTCCACTGCCTGTGAAGTCACCACTGACTTCGGGCACCCCAGATGCCTCCCCAGAGCTTGGCAGCTCAGTCCTGCTGGGCACTGGGGCTGAAAGTGTGGATGGCTCCTCTGAGGGGAATGGCTCCTCTGAGGGAAATGGCTTCTCTGAGGTGAAAGGCTCTTCTGAGGGGATTGGTCTCTCTGAAGGGAATGGTTCCTCTGGGGGGAATGGCTTCTCTGAGGGGAATGGTTCCTCTGGGGGGAATGGCTTCTCTGAGGGGAATGGCTTCTCTGAGGGGAACGGCTTCTCTGAGGGGAACAGTTCCTCTGGGGGGAATGGTTTTTCTGAGGGGAATGGTTCCTCTGAGGGGAACGGCTTCTCTGAGGGGAATGGCTTCTCTGAGGGGAACAGTTCCTCTGGGGGGAATGGCTTCTCTGAGGGGAATGGTTCCTCTGGGGGGAATGGTTCCTCTGAGGGGAAAGGCTTCTCTGAGGCTGAGGGCACTTCCGTTGCAGAAGGGCCTTCTGTGTGCTCCTCTGTTGCTGCGCCAGTGGGAGGCCATGTAGGAGGGATCCCTGGAGGAAAGGAAGAAGAAAGACAAGGTGTGAATTTAGTAACTCTGCCCATTTTAAGCTCATGCAGAGAAGCTGAACTCCATTCCTTCCACAGTAAGACTTTTTCCTCAAGAGCTCAGAGATGTGTCTAGACATTTTCTAATGGACCCTTGCACAGACACTTGGGAGAATAGGGACCAGAAAGCTCCCCACCACCCTCAGGCTCTGCTTTGTGAGACTCTAGGGGGCGCCACCCACACAAGTCACAGTATGTGAGAGCCTGGCTGCCGTTGAAGGCAATCAAGGTCACCTTCTTTCAAGTGCTTCTACATTATCACCTCATTTATCTAGAACTATGATTTTTAAAGTGTGGTTTTTGGACCATCAGCACTGCATCAGCTGGGAGATGGACAGAAAAGGAGATTCTCAGGTCCCTCCCCAGCTCCACTGAATTAGGAATTCTGGGGCAGGACATGGCACAATGATTTTAATATCCTGACCATGCTGATAATCCTTGTAAATGAGAATTGTGCACCAGAACTCATCCCTCTGAGGCCAAGAGGGATGTTTTCAAAAATACATCAACTTTTTCCGTTTTGAGAGCCCTAATAGGGCTAATAGAGAGGATTTGGAAGAGAGAGAGAGAGAAAAGAAAGAAACCCCATAACTCTAAATAATTATGGTTACATTATTTCCTTTCTGTCCTGTTTCCTTTGGCATTGAAAAATAACTAGCTGGGATTGTACCTTGCATATATTTTTGGGCTAATTTCCCAGGCAGAGAACCTGAGCACAGAGGGTGCTGGGTCCCAGTGGTCAGGCTCACAGCCTACCTTCACTTAAAGGAGAATCCTGGATAAGGGTAAGGAGCTCAGGAGCAGTGGTGGTATGCATGCAAGAGGATTTTAGATGGATATTTATCTATCTATTTAAACACACATATACATGCATGCGTGCACGCTCTGTCACTTCAGTAGTGTCTGACTCTTTATAACCCCATAGACTGCAGCCCGCCAGACTCCCCTGTCCATGGGATTCTCCAGGCATGAATACTGGAGTGGGTTGCCATACCCTCCTCCAGGGGTATCTTCCCTATCCAGGACTTAAACCCAGGTCTCCTGCATTGCAGGCAGTTTCTTTACCACTGAGCCGCCGGGGAAGTCCCCCGCATGCATACATATACACATAAATATACACACACACCACAAATCAGAAAATAGCCACTTACAGACATTACATTTTTGGTTTCTTGTCAAAAGCAAGTCAACTTAAAGAAAAAGGTCCAGAGTTAACAGCAGTAGAGATGGTTCCCCATAGGGCTCAAATCAGTGAAGTGGTAGGGAACTGACGAAATATTGGGAAATATTTCTGCGGGGCCACTGGAGTCCCCTCCCATGAATAACTTCTGTTACTGGCTTCCCGAGTTCTGTGCCAAGCCACACACTCATGCCTAAGAGGACTCAGTTCTTCCTGTCCTGGTGAAGGGTGAGGAAAGGGCCTGGAGCAGGTGTGACTGCTGGGTGAGGTCTCTGAGTGAAAATTCTACTTACTCCACTGATGCAACTTTACCTTCCGGGTTTGCATTTCCAGCACCCAGAGGAGCACTTGGTGCGGCCAAATTGCTTGGGAACTGTGCACTGACTGAATGACTAGGTGAATTAGTGGGAAGCTTTCATATATATTCCTGTCTTCAAATGCACGTGACCCTGGGCAAACTGACTCTGCTAGGTACACACAGGTTACTGTGCATCACTATAAATCAGTCTTACCCAAAGAGAGCCATGTTAAAAACGTTCCATGAAAAAACAAAAAAGACCCTGTGGTCAGATTCATTTGGGACCCATTGAATACACAGCCCTCTCTGCTTCACAGAGCATATTAGCACATCTAAGGCTCTGAGAAGGTCTGCAATGGTGGGGGTTGTGGGGTGGGTGCTATTAATGTTCCTGTAAGCCAGGAGTTCCTAAACCTGATGCCTACTAAATGCTTTTTCTAATAGGGTTTGAAGTCTGTGGATTTCATCCCAGCAAGTCCCATGTGATTTAATCATGACAGCTGTTGCTCAGGAAGTTCTGACTGGGGACACCTGGCCCAAAAAAGGACCCAAAAGGAGAAACAAGAGAAGAAGACAGGTCACAGTGGGACTGCCAACAGCCAACCCCTCCCAGGTCCTTTCCCCTCTGTTGGAGTCCCTCCCACAAGAGTTTTAAGAGTTTAGAGAGTAGAGGTCTGAATGCAGGAGCACAGAGTAAGTGAGAGTCCTCCAGTTGATACAGTGCTGGGCATTTGGGGCGTGTAGCTGGAAGATAACTGAGTGCAGAGAGAGAGAGAGAGAGAGAGAGAGAGAGAGAGAAGAGGTATGTTTTATGAACAAAGCCGCCCTTTTTCTCCCTTAGGAGTTGGTCCTTGATGCCTGCTGAGATGGCTGAAGTTGCCCATGGCAGCACACTTAGATAATGGCAGGGCTGGGGGTCAGGGCTGGGGAAATAGAGCACAGGTCCCAGGGAGAGAACACCCTCTCCTCCCCCCATCCAGGCCACACCCTAGCCCAGGGAGGCAGCAGGACTTGCAGGAGAGCCCGGACGGACCTGGTAATGGGAAAGTGCCCGCTGGGGTGTAGGCAAGTTCCCATTCCGTCTTGTTTTCTGGCTCAACGGTGAAGCCTGGGGTTGCAGTCGTCTCCTCCCCGACGGGGACAGCAGCCACGCCAGGCCCCACTTGGGTCACGATCCAATCCTCCACGTCAGGGCCTGCTGTGGGTGTGCTACCCTCCTCTTCTCCTGGAGAGGGCGTCACTGAAACACCTAAAGGGGATATGGGTGGTGAGGGCTGGCGGCTCCTTCTTACCAGTGACCCACCTCAGGCTGGCCCTTCTTCAAGGGACACAGGGGACCATGAGGTGGGCCAAGCCTGTGCACAAATCTTGCTGGTCCTTGGCCTTCCAATCCCCACCCAGTCCAGTGAGATGATGTTTGTCCTTAATTAATAAGAGCTGTTTGCTTCAACTATATCAATATGCACACACCATCAGCACTTTATTTCAGGGTGGTCTGGGGCACCTCTTTTGCAGAATCTATTATACATGCCAGGCATTGTTTAAAGGTGTGATGCATCGATGCATAAAATCTTAGGGGACTTCCCTGGTAATCCAGTGGCTGAGACTCAGTGCTCCCAATGCTGGAGCCTGGGTTTAATTCCAGGTCAGGAAACCAGATCCCATACACTGCAACTAAGAGTTCGCGTGGAGCAACTAAAGATCCCTCCTGTCAGAACTAAAGATCCTGCATGCCGTAACTAAGACCCAGCACAGCCAAATAAATAAGCAAATATTTAACAATAAGATAAAATAAGTTTATCCCACAAGAACCACGTGAGAGAGATACATTATCTCACTTACAAACAGGGACACTAAGGTTAAGTGACCTTTCCAGTGTCAGTAGCTTCTAAGTAACAGATCTAGTCTATAGGCCCAAGTATCTGGTGCCGGGGGCTTCCCAGGTGGTGTATTAGTAAAAAATCCACCTGCTAATGCAGGCAATGCAAGAGATGTAGGCTTGATCCCTGGGTCAGGAAGATCCCCTGGAAGAGGAAATGGCAATCTGCTCCAGTATTCTTGCCTGCAGAATTCCATAGACAGAGGAGCCTGACAGGCTATAGTCCATGGGGTCGCAAAAGAGTTGGACACGACTGAGCTACTGTGCACACAGCACAATCTGATGTCAGACACTCTGCTCTTAAGTACTGCAATGATGCTGACTTTCTTGGACAGAAATTATGTTCCAAGTGTGTCTGGATCAAAATCAGGAGAGTGCTATTTAACATGCATGAAGCCATCCTGGCACTGGCTGGTGAAGGCAGGATTCATTGACTGGGAGTAACTGTTCTGGTTTAGCAGGCTTGTCGGGAAGGAAGCCAGGTTTCTCAGCAGATGTATAAAAGGCTGAGTCTACAGAGGGTTGGGGATGGATGGTAGAAATGCTTGGCTGAGAATTTATTGGGGGGCTAATTGGCTTGCTTCTGATGTCCAGAGCAAGGCGAGGGGTGCTGGGTCAAGGGCCTCATCAAATCCTCTGGGAAGGTATTGGCTTTCTTGACTGGCAAAGTGAGACTGAACTTTCTTTGAATTAGGTTTTAAAAGGTGATCCTGGGGCTTCCCAGGTGGGGCTAATGGTAAAGAACCCGGTCTGTTAATGCAGGAGACATAAGAGACATGGGTTTGATTCATGGGTCAGGAAGATCCCCTGGTGGAGGGCATGGCAACCCACTCCAGTATTCTTGCCTGCAGAATCCCATAGACAGGATCTTGGTGGGCTATGGTCCATAGCATCTCAAAGAGTCAGACATGGCTGAAGCGACTTAGCACTGAAAGTCTTGGAAACTTTGGGTCATTCAAGGTGTTTTTTTTTTTTTAAAGATCCTTTTTTAAAAAATTTAGACCATTTTTAAAGTCTCTATTGAATCTGTTACAATATTGTTTCTGTTCTATGTTTTGTTTTTTTGGCCACAAGGCATGTGGGATCCTAGCTCCCTGACCAGGGATTGAACCCAGGCTCCCTGCATTGGAAGGCTGTCTTATCTAGTGGACTGCCAGGGAAGTCCCTTGGGGAGTTTTTTAAAAAATTAACTTTATTTTGAAATAATTACATATTCACAGGAAGTTATAAATATACTGAGTTTTGATGTATAATATGTAAAATATGGCACAAGCCAGTACTACAATCTACATTCTGGGCAGTGCATCTGGACCCATGGACCCTGTAAGAACTCATCCAATCAGAGCCCAGCCAGGCCTTGGCCATGGCCTGGCCATGCCCACTGAGTCGATGACATCCCTCTCAGAACTCTGGTAACATGGCATAGAGTCCTCAGCACGGGTCAGTTAGAAATGTGAATTTTTGGTGCTTAGTGAAGAATAATTTGACTAAACTCATCACAGAAATATTTAGAAGCAAATGAAAGTTTGACCAGGCTGTACAAATCAAAACTGTATGTATACTTATATACACACATACACACAACATATACGTGTGTTATTTGCAAAGCTAACATTTATTGAGCATTTAGTATTTCCCAGGTACTATGCTAAGTGTTCTGTATGCATTACCCCAGTTAATCCTTCCAGCAACAATTCAAGGTAGGAAATATTATATCATTATTTTATAGAGAAAGCAGAGAAACAGAGAGACTAAGTGACTTGCCTAAGGTCACACAGCTACAAAGCAGCAGAGTCATAACTAAAATTCAGATTTGCCCGATTTTAGAGCCCAAGTTCTTACTTGTTTCTCTTTATGTGTCTCTGGGGACACATTAGAAGGGTGTACTTGCCATGGAGTCAAAGCCTAAGGTCACCCCATCCAGACGGACTGACTTTGTCCTCTATGCTGTGATGGATGGGCAAAGATCAGGAGGGACGAGTCCGGGGGAGTCACCCCCAAGACAGAGGGGGGCCGGAGGGGAGATGAGGACACAAACCTCGGAAGCAGAAGGCGTGGTGCCGGGACAGCGGATCCAGGAGGCCCGTCTGGTTGGGGTAGAGGTAGACGGTTCTCACGCCTGGTTTGTCGCCGCCGCAGGCAGGCCTCGGGGTGACAATGGGGTAGCGGAGGCTGCCGTCGGACAGCCAGCCGGCGTAGCACTTGTCCAGACCGCGGCTCCAGGCAGCGTAGAGCTGGCCCGTGGTGGCCAGTGTGGCATTTTGGGATTCACAGAACTCCTGGGCTTCCCGGAAGGTGAACTGCTCCAGGCGTGTGGCAAAGAACACCTCCCCTGGGGGTAGAGGCAGGTGGCAGGTGTGAGCCTCCGTGCCCATGGCCAGAGCAGCCGCTGCTCACCCTGGGGCAGGCCAGCTGCACTAAGACGAGTTAGTCAGGCTCCATCTGAACAACCTCCCCTCCTTCTCTCTGGATTCTCCAGTCACAGGCACCCCCTCTTCTGCCTAAGAGAGGCACTCCTGGGCACCCCCGTGCTCCCCTAAACCTCAGCACTGAATCATGGAGCACTGAATGCTATGGACCTGTGGCCCCACCCGCATCTTGTGAACTCAGGGAGCAGGGCCTGTGGCCACTCTTAGGGGTTGGAGGCCCAACACCCAGAACAATACTGGGGTCTGTGTCTGATCTGGGGGGAGGAAGTTCACATTTACTGAACACCTGCTTATACCAGGCACTTTTTATGCACATCTCATTTAATACTCAGTGAAGTCTCTGATATAAGCATAAATCAGCTCCATTTTATGGATGAGGAAACTGAGGCCTAGAGAGGTTAAGTAACTTGCCCAGGTCCCCAAACAAGTGAGTGGCAGTGTTGAAATCTCTCCAGAATACCAGCATTTCCAAGACTGGGTTCAGTGGGACAGTGATTTGGTGATTTTAATTGAAATGATAAGAAATAAGACCAAACAAGGGTCTGTGTTTCTTTAATCTTGGGTGATGCTTGGTTAAGCAGAGTTGAAGAGGTTTTTTTTTTTTTAATGCAGGACTTCTCAGAGTCTTTGATTTGTTCATGGGCATTGAGATGCTCAATGAGGCAGAAGGTACATATAACATTTTAATTCACTTGTCTATAGAACTTATTGCCTTTTCAAGAAACCAGTGCTTCCCTGCAATGCTGGGGAATCCATGTGGACCATCTGGGAGGCAGACAAGTGGCCTGGCCTGAGAGGGGGACTGGGAAGGCCTTCTTTCTTAAGTAGGATCCTTTCCTGGTTGCCTGCCCAGGTGAGAACGGGACTAGGTAGATGGTGACTCGCCCTCCGCTATATCTCCCCATCAGCTGCCTCACCCATCCACAGCCCGAAATTTGAGAACAGGGCCTGTACCCTCGAGTCTGTCCACGTAGCAGTAGACATCGTAGGTTTCTGATGGTGGCCGCACGCCGTAGGTCCTGACCCCTGGGCTGCTGTCCTTGTCACCCACACAGGGGGTCCGCGGGCTCACAATGGGGTATCTGCAGGGAAGGGTGGGAGGGGCAGATGAGAGTTTGTTCTGGAAAACTGGGGATGCAGGGCCCCAGGGTGAGGCGGCAGGTTTCCTGGAGGATTCAAACCAGGAAGGAGGACTTCCCTGGTGCGCCAGTGGTTAAGAATCTGCCTGCCAGTGCAGGGGACACAGGTTCAATCCCTGGTCTGGGAAGATCCCATATGCTGTGGGGCAACTAAGCCCATGTGCCACAATTACTGAGCCCGTGCACCCTAGAGCCCATGCTACGCAACGAGAGAAGCCACCACAATGAGTAACTAGAGAGTAGCCCCCACTTGCCACAACCAGAGAAAGTTCACAAGCAGCAGCGAAGACCCAGTGCAGCCAAAAAAATAAAAAATAAAACAGGAAGGAGTCTCTCATGCAACATGCTCCCTGTGCAGCTGGGGGTAGGGCCGCCTGGGGGCAATTGAGGGATTCCTGGCTTCAGAAGAAAGCCCATGGCATGGAAGGGTCAGGCTGGGGAGGACTGGGGGGCTTGACAGGGAGCTCTCAATATGTTTTTTGAGGAGAAATGACCAAGGAGCTAATGTCTCCTGGGACCCATTCCCACCCTCTCAGAATACGTCTTGGTTCTGGGGGAGAAATTAAGGGGTCAGCCAGGAACCACTAATTAACGGAGCACACAGTGTGGCGGGTGCCCGCTCGGTGGTGGGTGCCACAGGCTCAGGCTCCCCAAGCCTGATCTCGCACGGTTGGGTTTGGATGGGGAGGGGAGCCCAGCTCCTCTCACCTGACTGTCTGATCCTGCAGCCAGCCGGCGTCACACTGCTCATAGCCTGCTTCATAGGCGGCCTGGAGCTGTTCGGGTGAGGCGATGACGGCCCCGGTGCGCAGGCAGGCCTGCTTGGCCTCCTCAAAGGTCAGCGAGTAGCGGGAGGAGCCCGGGCGGTAGTGGAACACGACTCCTGGGTGGGGAGGAGAGGGAGAGAAGGTGAGACAGGTCAGGATCAGGGCATGGGCCAAGGGCCACCATGCCAGGGTCCATGGTACCTGGTTCTCAAGGCTTTGCAGGTGTGGAAGGAGCCCTGGCTCCTTGAGGAATGGCCTCCTTTCACCCCCTCCTTCCTTTCCTACTCCTTATCTGATTCCTTGTCAAGCTGGTAATCTCTGCTTGTTCAAACTGCTCCTGAAATCCACCTTCCTGAGAAAGGCTTCTAGGACCTTTCTGCCATGGGTGTCCCCAACCCTTCATTCTGGCTTCCTCACTCCAGGCTGCTCATTTGTCCCCGGACTCTTTAAAATAAAGGCACTTGCTCTTAGTATAAAAAGAATAAGTGATCAGTGCAGAGCATTCAGAAAATACAGAGAAGGACAAAGAAGAAATCAAACAAATCAATCAAACCACTGCCTGTCTTCCACCTGGCCCAAAGTCCCGGGTTCAGGGGGTAGGTGGTCCTCTGGAAAACGGCTGCAAGAGTTTGTGCGGGTGCACTGGGTATATGTCTGGGGACGAGCACAGCACACAGCCTGTCCATGAACCCCCACTCACTCTGCCTCCCCTGTTGCATTTAACTGGACACACATTGGATTTTGACACTTCCCTGGGTGACTGGCCAGTTCGTGTCCAGTTGCAGACGGATCCCCAATCTGAGTCTCCCTCACGTTCTTGTCCTTTCCTGTGTTAGATGCCCACCTATCCATTGGCACCTTTATGGGTTGCGGCCATGTGGAGGGAGTGAGAATCTCTCCAGCCCCGAGCCAACCCTGGGACATGGCTACTGTTGGCCTTACCCCCCAACTTCTAAGCAATTCTTCCTTCTCAATATACTGTATTTATCTGGGCGATTCAGGCTGATATCTCACTTTGTGGCACCATGGGAGTGAAGGTGGATGGCAGTGGAGGGCAGGTCTCCATCTGACTTGCCCCAGGTGGAGATACTACCAAGGTCCTCATGGAGGCCACCGCAGTACATCTTTCCATGGACTTGAGTTTTGGAACCAGCCAAGTTCTATGTGACATGACATCCCAACTATCCAAATATTTATTTAGTTTTTGGTCGCCTGGCATGTGGGATCTTAGTTCCCTGACCAGGGACTGAACCCACGCCCCATGCATTAGAAGTGCAGGGTCTTAACCACTGGACTACCAGGGAAGTTCCCATCCAGACATTTATTAAGCACCTGAAACACCACCATCCCAGAACCAAGGTGGCAAACGTTTTCTGGAAAAAGCCTGACAGAACACATTTCAGACTTTGTGGGCTAAATGGGGTTTGTACATCTACCTGATCCTGTCCTGATAGCCCTAAAGGGCTCTAAGTGGCCACAGACTATGTTACCAAATGGGTGTGACTTTGTTCCTGTCAAACTTTATTTGTGGACATTAAAATTTGAATTTTATATAATTTTCACAATATGTCACAAAATGTTATTCTTCTTTGGACTTTCCCCCTCAACTACTTAAAAAGCTTCTTAATTCTTAGTTCATGGGCTGCAGAAAAACGGAACACGGGCTAGGGCTAGGTTTGGTCCATGGACCACAGTTTGCAGACCCCTGTTCTGGAGGGCCAGTGCTGTGAGAAGCCCTGAGGGTGTCCAGTGCAGCTGAGCTCAGCGGCTCTGTTCTGCGGAAGTGCCTGTTGGGGAGAGGAGGGCCCGTGGGCAGAAGGGCCCTGGTTTTCCTTTGCCCTTCACCTCTACCTGTCGATACATTCACTGGTTTTTCCCTCTGACTTCATTTGAAGGAAACGCTTTGGGACAGAGAGCCACACACACATAAAAGAGCGTGAGCATCACTGGTGTGGCCCATCCCCTTTGTTCCTTGTTTCACAAGTGAGGAGAGCTGAGTCTGAGGAGAGGGACGCTTGTCTCACATCCCAGGTGAAGCTGAAAGTACAGAAGAACTTCCACCCAGGTGGCTCAGTGGTAAAGAATCTGCCTGCCAGTGCAGGAGACACAGGTTCGATTACCTGGGCCGGGAAGATCCCCTGGAGAAGGGAAATGGCAACCCACTCCAGTATCCTTGCCTGGAGAATTCCATGGACAGAGGAGCCTGGCAGGCACAGTACGTAGGGTCGCAAAAAGTGGGAATGACTGAGTGACTGAGCGATTCCTGCACTGCACATAGAAGACCCCAGACCAAGCCCTTTCCCCCAGCCCTGGATGCAGCCCCTGAGAGGCAGACACTTACCCCCTGGCAGTCGTGGCTGCCCAGGGACCTCGGCTGCACCTGGGGCTAAGGTCACCTGCACGACGAGGTCCTCGCTGGTGAAGGCCGTGGGGGCTTCCAGACCGGGCGTGGACTCTCCGGGAAAGGCCCAGGGCCGGGTGGCCTCTCCAGTCCTGTTCTCCACTGCGGGGAATGCAGTGGCCCTTACTTCAGGGACAAACGTGAAAGGCTCTTCGGGTTCCGGGACGGTGGGAGAGACTTCAAATTCGGGCTTCGCCGTGAGGATCACGTTGCCTCGGGCTTCACCCTCGGTGATGTTTCGGGGCAGGGGCAGCTCCACGTCAGGCCAGGTCACCGTCTGGATGGTGATGTCCTCCTCGCCACCCACCCCGAAAAAGTTTTCTGGGATGTCTACAAAGTCTTCACCTGGGGCAGGGGGCAGAGACAGGCATTAGTGCTTGGCCTGGGGCTGGCTTGATGGAGATGAATATCAGATGCCCCCCTCCTCTGCTAAGAAAAGAGAGCACCTACTGTGTGCCAGGCACCTGGCTGGGCCCATTGCTGGAGACCTCAATAGCTTGAGTATTTATTATAGGGGTTCCCTAGATTGCAAAAATACGCAGTCACCATAGCACAAAACCCTGACCAATCAGCTCACTGTTTATTAACACCATCTTGTTCCAACATCCCTTCCTGGGTAATGCCAGCCAGTTGCTTCCTTATCTATCTTGTGAGCACCTGCTGACCCTCTGATGTTAGAACTAGCCAATGGGACAATGTAAATCAATCAGAAAAAGAAATGAAAAAATCTTCCCAAAGATGCAGGAGCTCATGAAATTGATGAAAGTGCCATGAGAGAACTGCCTGCCTCAGTCATGAACAAACGAGCCACTTAGTAATTAATAAAGAGAGCATCCATGAGGATGCTACAACTGCAAACAGGGTGGTGGTAATATTGAAAAGTGAAGAGAAGCTTTTGGGGGTAATTCTAACTATTTTTGCACAAATAACCCTAGACAGTGTAAAATATAGGATAAAAGCATTTTTAAAAGTTTTAGTCTAAATGTTCACAATAAAGTCCTTGTCAAAAACTTTTTCCCACTCTTAAGTAACACTATGACCCTCATTTTGAAGTGAATTCAATTAAAAGGGCAACTGTGGAGAGGAAGGTGGGAGGGAGGCTCAAGAGGGAGGGGACATATGTATACTTATGGCTGATTGTTTGACAGAAAGCAGCTCAATTCTGTAGAGCAATTATCCTTCAATTAAAAAATAAATGCTTTCAAAATTTAAAAAAGGACAGATCACAGCGCCCTCCTGTGATGCATGGTCTCAAGTCAGGCCCCACATCTTCCCATTAGACAGATGAGGAAAGTGAGGCTCAGGGCCTTGACTTTGTCAGAGCTGCCCAGGAGTGAGGGGCAGAAATGTGATTCAAAATTGAGAAAACAGTCCCTAAATCTCATGTTTTCCCCCAATTCTGGGCTGATGAGATAGGACTGGTTATTGCAGGTTGCAGTGATTCTAGCTTCCCAAGGAACCCATGAAAATATGGGGTGCTAAGACTTGGGGTTCAGGTACGCAATGGACACTTGAAGGAGGTAAAACCCAACTCCCCATTCTAAGATCTCATCCTCTGGGTCCCCATTTTGGTGGCAGCTCCCCCTCCGAAATGCCTCCAGGCCATTCCTACCTGTGTAGCAGATGGCGTCATAGCGGGATGAAGGGTCAGGGTAGCCCGTCTGATTGGCGTGCAGGTAGACGGTCCTCACTCCCAGGAGGTTGCCCCCGCAGTTCGGCCGGGCCTTGGAGATGGGGTATCGCACGCTGCGGTCAGCCAGCCAGCCGGCGCTGCACATGTCCATGCCGCCCTGCCAGGCCAGGTAGAGTTGGCCCGTGGTGGCCAGCCGGGCACCCAGCCGCCGGCACTCGTTGGCTGCCTCCTGAAAGGTGAACTTCTCCGGGGATGTTGCATAGAAGACCTCGCCTGCAAAAGACAGCCGGCAGAGTAAGGAGCTCCTTCTCATGTCTGCCCTGAGTCCCCAGGGAGATCCCCAGGTTCCTCTGGGTTTGGTCTTTAACTGGGCAAAGCCCTGGTCCCACATGTCTGTATTTCAGGGGAAGAATGGGGGGTTGGGAGGGGTGTTGAGGTAGGGTATGGTATCCTGGATTAGTGCCCTGCCCAGGAAGAGGCCTGCACGACTCCAAGAGTCAGCAGGAAGAAGGAGATGGGCAGCAGGAAGAAGGGGATGGGCAGCAGGAAGAAGGGGAAGAGCCTCCGAAGGGGCTCTTGGGAGGGTAGGGGGTGGCCTCACCTTCCATCTCCTCCGCGAAGCAGTACACATCATAGGTTTCATTGGTATCACGGATGCCATAGGTTCTCACACCAGGAAACTCATCCTTGTCTCCATAGCAACCTTCCCTTGGAGTGTGGATGGGGTACCTGCCGGGAACCCAAAGCAGGGATGTGACACTCGGGGGACAGAAGGGGCCGGTGACCTTGTACCCTACTCCCTTGTGGGAGGAAGCAGTGACTTACTGGTGTGTTTGCCGGGACCTGCTGAGATCTGTGGGCTACTTGTTTCTACAGTTTTTGCCCAGCTTTATTGAGATAGATGTTTTCATCACTATTGGTGACAGAAGGTGGCCCCTTTTACTGAAAATTTATTGTACCAAACATGTTCTATCAGGGGCTTGCAAACCTTTTCTGTAAAAGGATGAATAGTAAATATTTCAGGTCTTGCAGGCCAGAGGGTCTCCACTGTGACCAACCACTCAACCTTGCCATCCTAGTGCAAACAAAGCAACCACAGACAACAGAACAAGTGTGGCTATGTTCCCATAAAGCTTGGTTTACCGAAACAAGGAGTGGGTTGGACTTGACCCATGAGCCATAGTTTGCTGAACCCTGCTCTGTATCATTGGAGTCTCATATCAACCTAAGGAGGAAGGTGCTATAACCACTCTGAACCATAAGAAAGTGGGGCCCAGAGATGTTTAACAATTTGTTCAAAGTCACACAGCCTCTGAGTATCAGAACTGGGGTTTGAGGTATATAGATACCTCCTGTATCTGAGGTGTGGTCTCTTCCACTATGCTAGGCTGTTGAATCATCTTGCCTTTTTTTTTTTTTAAATGGTTAATGGCTTTTTTTATCCTGAGATCTTTTGCCTATCCCAGTATTACAGAGCTATTTCCCTTTGTTTTCTTCTTGTGGCTTTGTGGTTCTGGCTTTTGCATTTGGAGCTTTGATCCGCCTCGAAAGAATTGTCTCATCTTGCTTTTATAGTCTTGCTTACATGAAGGCAAGCCTTACATGAATGTAAGCCTCCCTTAAAGGTAAGGCTCTGTCTGCCTTGCTGGGCAACCCACCCCTTAGCAGCTGTGCTCAGGGGAAAATGAGCCAAAAAGCTTAATTTACATGTGTCTTGCCCTATTAAAAACAGAATAGAAAGTGGTTCACAAAAAGATATAAACACCAAAATTTTAAAAAGATGTAAAGGGAAAAATGAGTAGGAAGAATAATGATGTAAAATTTGCATGGAGAAAATACTCATGTAGAGCTATGCTGCTAGTGATCACTCATTCACCACAGGACAGAGGACCAAGGATTTGGGACCTGACCTCGAACTGGCCAAGGCATCTGTCTAGCCCCAGCCCAGGTTGGCCTTGGTGTCAGGCTGGCACCAGCTCAGTGCTGGTCAGCGTTCCAGTCCATCTCCCACTCCACTCTGATGGTGGCCCTGGGGCTCACCTGACAGTCTGATCGGCCAGCCAGCCGGCGTCGCACTGGTGGAAGCCGTCCTCATAGGCGGCCTGCAGCTGCTCGGGCGTGGCAATGATGGCACTGTTCTGCAGGCAGGCCCGCTGCGCCCTGTCAAAGTCCAGGGTGTAGCGCGTGGAGATGGCTCTGTAATGGAACACGATGCCTGCAAGACACAGGAGAGCGAGAGGGCAGGTCAGCACGGCCTCCCCTCATCCAGGCCCTCATAGACTCAGGGAGAGCCAAGGGGGCATAGAGACATCTGGGCTGGGCCTCTAGCTGATGGGTGGATTCTAGCTCCCTATCTGCATGGGGTCCTTCTGCCTTTGCTAGAATATTTCTATTAACAGGGAGCTCATTACCATACCAGGCATCTTTTTGGAAACCTGTGATAATTCTGGTAATCAGGTTATTTGACTTGGATTAAAATCTGCCTTCCTCATAATTTTTCATATCATTCCAGGACCCCATATTTGCTTTGCAGAAAGAAGCTCCCTCAGCCCAGAGACATCCCAGTGAGAGTCTTGTTTAAGGCACAGGTAGGAGCAGACCACCTTTTGGAGAGTGCTGAGCACCAAAGAATTGACGCTTTCGAATTGTGGTGCTGGAGAAGACTCTTGAGAATCCCTTGGACAGAAAGGAGATTAAACCAGTCAATCCTAAAGGAAATCAACCCTGAATATTCACTGGAAGGACTGATGCTGGAGCTGAAGCTCCAACACTCTGGCCACCTGATGTGAAACGTCACCTCATTGGAAAACACACTGATGCTGGGAAAGATTGAAGACAGGAGGAGAAGGGGGAAACAGAGACATGAATGTAAGCCTCCCTTAAAGGTAAGGCTCTGTCTGCCTTGCTGGGCAACCCACCCCTTAGCAGCTGTGCTCAGGGGAAAATGAGCCAAAAAGCTTAATTTACATGTGTCTTGCCCTATTAAAAACAGAATAGAAAGTGGTTCACAAAAAGATATAAACACCAAAATTTTAAAAAGATGTAAAGGGAAAAATGAGTAGGAAGAATAATGATGTAAAATTTGCATGGAGAAAATACTCATGTAGAGCTATGCTGCTAGTGATCACTCATCCACCACAGGACAGAGGACCAAGGATTTGGGACCTGACCTCGAACTGGCCAAGGCATCTGTCTAGCCCCAGCCCAGGTTGGCCTTGGTGTCAGGCTGGCACCAGCTCAGTGCTGGTCAGCGTTCCAGTCCATCTCCCACTCCACTCTGATGGTGGCCCTGGGGCTCACCTGACAGTCTGATCGGCCAGCCAGCCGGCGTCGCACTGGTGGAAGCCGTCCTCATAGGCGGCCTGCAGCTGCTCGGGCGTGGCAATGATGGCACTGTTCTGCAGGCAGGCCCGCTGCGCCCTGTCAAAGTCCAGGGTGTAGCGCGTGGAGATGGCTCTGTAATGGAACACGATGCCTGCAAGACACAGGAGAGCGAGAGGGCAGGTCAGCACGGCCTCCCCTCATCCAGGCCCTCATAGACTCAGGGAGAGCCAAGGGGGCATAGAGACATCTGGGCTGGGCCTCTAGCTGATGGGTGGATTCTAGCTCCCTATCTGCATGGGGTCCTTCTGCCTTTGCTAGAATATTTCTATTAACAGGGAGCTCATTACCATACCAGGCATCTTTTTGGAAACCTGTGATAATTCTGGTAATCAGGTTATTTGACTTGGATTAAAATCTGCCTTCCTCATAATTTTTCATATCATTCAAGGACCCCATATTTGCTTTGCAGAAAGAAGCTCCCTCAGCCCAGAGACATCCCAGTGAGAGTCTTGTTTAAGGCACAGGTAGGAGCAGACCACCTTTTGGAGAGTGCTGAGCACCAAAGAATTGACGCTTTCGAATTGTGGTGCTGGAGAAGACTCTTGAGAATCCCTTGGACAGAAAGGAGATTAAACCAGTCAATCCTAAAGGAAATCAACCCTGAATATTCACTGGAAGGACTGATGCTGGAGCTGAAGCTCCAACACTCTGGCCACCTGATGTGAAACGTCACCTCATTGGAAAACACACTGATGCTGGGAAAGATTGAAGACAGGAGGAGAAGGGGGAAACAGAGGATGAGATGGCCGGATGGCATCATCAACTCAATGGACATGAGTCTGAGAAAACTCCAGGAGATAGTGAAGGACAGGGAAGCCTGGCATGCTGCAGAACTGAGCAAATGAACAACAACCACCCAACAGGAAAAACTTGGTGCTGACTGAAGTCCTGAAGCCTACCAAGAACACACCCATATTCCTTAGTCCATCGAGGGCAGGGGACCAGAAAGTCCTCATCCCTTTCTTTGGCTTCTGGAACTGGAAGTGGGGGAGGGACACCTGGGTGGAGAGTCAGGAGATGCTCAGGCTCCCTTCCTGGGAAACTTCAGGCAAGTCACTTAACCTCATTTTGCTTGTCTGTAAAATGGGGATGATCACAAAGCAATCAAATCACAGGACTGTTGGGAAGCACAGATTGTCATTCATTACATGTGACTGTGGCCACGGAGTATTTAATTCACTCAAAGTCTAGTGAGAGTGATGTTACCAGCTTCGTGTTACAGAGGAAGCAACTGAAGTTAAGTAACTCAACCGAGGTGCAAACTGGCAGGATGAGGAGCTGGGGTTTTCAAGCCAGCCAGCCTGGGTGCCCACCAGTGAGGATGGCATTCTGGTTTTTTCTGTAGGTGAAGCAGGGTTCCCCCCGGGCAGGATCTCACCTTTCACCACGACCTCCAGGGTGGCCTGGCTGTCCTCGATGCCATGCATCACCTCGCAGCGATAGATCCCGGAGTCATTGGAGCGCAGGTTCTGGATTTCCAGGGTGGCGTCGCTGGGGATGGCGGGGTAGTTGGGCAGCGTGACCTTGTCTTGGTAGGCGCTGTTGACCCGCACCCGCCCTTCAGTGGCCACCAGCAGCACCACCTCCTTCTCCTTGGAAATGCGGCTCCACTTGATTCTCGGGGCGAGGGGGGCGGTGGAGGGGGCGGTGGTCACGGGGTGCATGGGGTCGATGAAGTAGCAGGGGATGGTGAGGGAGCTCCCCAGGAGGACCCGCAGCGGGGACGGTTCGGGGATGCTGACACTCAGCGAGTTGTCAGGTTCTGTGCGGGGAGACACGGGGGCGGGAGACAGACCCGTTAGTGCCCAGAGAGGACCACCCAGCCTCTCTGTCCGTCCTTTTGGAAATGACAGTGTCTGTGCTGGTGCTGGGGAAGCCTCCTGCATCATATGGAATTCCCTTTCCAGAGCAGCTTCTTCAAGACCCCCTGGTCTCTCTGTCTCAAGACGGGAACTATGGAGCCAGAAAGGGTTCCAGAGGGGGCCATCGGGAAATTCAGAGGCGTACCTCTTTGTTTCTCAAACTGGGGTACCCTAGGTGATGCCAAGCCATGGGATAAACAGAACCCATCTTTCTGGAGTTACAAGCCATGGGATAAATAGAACCCATCTTTCTGGAGTGACAGTTTGACTCAAATATTCGTAAAAAGTTACTTTGGGGGAGAAGTTCCAGTACTTTGGCCACCTGATGTGAAGAGCGGACTCACTGGAAAAGACCCTGATGCTGGGAAAGACTGAAGGCAGGAGGAGAAGGGGATGACAGGGGGTGAGATGGTTGGATGGCATCACCGACTCAATGGACATGAGCCTGAGCGAGCTCCAGGAGATGGTGAAGAACAGAGAAGCCTGGCGTGCTGCAGTCCATGGGGTTGCAAAGAATTGCACATGACTTAGTGACTGAACTACATCAAGAAAAAATTACTATGGGGAAGAAAAAATTCATACAGCTTGTAAAGCTAAGATATAAAAATATCAAACGTTTAAGGAGGTCTGCTTTGGGCTTCATCCTGACCTTGCAGAAGGACTAGTCATTCTCTTCTGTTGTTGGGGGATCAGGGGCCTAGTTGGAGAGGCATCAGAGAAAATCAGACTTTTAAGCCTGCAAAGAGTCAGCCTGGGGTGGGGTTGGGATATGATTAGACTCCATAAAAAAAAAAAAAGACAACAAACCTAGATAGTATTGATAGGGAAGATGCAGAGAGTTTGCAAATTCTCTTAGAAGTCAAAAATCTTCCTGGTATTGGAAAGAAAGAGCCTTTGAAAAAACAGCACTTTTATGAACAGTCATATACTTACCAAATTTTTTTTCCAGGAGAGCCTGCAGGTTGACCATAAAAATGTTTCACATATTTGTGGGTGGCAGATACATAGCAAGGCAGGAAAAAGGGAGCCAGGAATGTTTGGGGTCCAGCCCTAACCTTTTGATATCCTGGGGGATCACTAGCAGGCCCTTCACAGAAATATCCCACTGAGGCTCCACCCTAGCACAGCACACAGCGTGGTTTTAGTGGTGGTAGCTCTCCAGGGCAGGTTCTTCCCAGGTAGCACTAGTGGTAAAGAACCCACCTGCTGATGCAGGAGACATAAGAGACTCAGGTTCAACCCCTGGGTCGGGAAGATCCTCTGAAGACGGGTGTGGCAATCCACTCCAGTATTCTTGCCTAGAGAATCCTAGGGACAGAGGAACCTGGTGGGCTATAGTCCATGGGGTCACAAAGAATCAGACATGACTACAGTGACTGATCACGCACGCATGGTTATCCAGGGACAACTGGAAGTGACAGCAGCACCCAGCTCTGCAGTTTTTAAAGCTCTCAACCAACCCTCAAGAGAAGGTTGGCCTGTGTGGGCAAATCACCCCAGGGTATAGCCAGCTGGGTACTCAAGGGTCTCAGGGCAAGAGTACAGGTGGAGACTCAGGGATCATATGTCTAAATGTTTAAAAGCTATAAATCAAGCCAACAGATTGTTTAAAAAAAATGTTCTATCTTCTTATTTGACAATGATACCTTTCAAAATTAAAAACCAGATTCAAATTTAGAATTTTTGGATCCCTAGAGTTTTGCATTGGGATGTGGTGGCCACGCTGGAGGAGAGGGAATCAGGACCCCTTTTCTTCCCTTCATGGCTCTGCACTGTGAAGCGTCTGTATTTATCCAGGCCCTCACAACCCAGCTCTGTCTGAACAGCCACCCCTTCACCTCTCCCTCTGGCCTTCTGGTGGCTCAGACTGGTGGTGGTGGGTGGTCCTTTCATGGAAGGATGGACCCAGAGGAGCAAACCATGCAGCCCTGAAAATGACTTGGGTCCAGCTGGACAGGGAATTCTGGGCATCCTGGGTACCCAGAGGGAGCATAGAGTGGGGTGGACACATATCACTGGCCCTACAATTCCTCATTTTTAGGGAATTTGGGGGCTGTAGGAGAGTCAGAGAGGGGGCCTCTAAAGTGACGGCCCAGATCAAGCACCAGGACTATCAGTGCCAGGCTTGGTCTCCATCTCCTGAGCTCAGGCCTCAGTGCCTGCTGGGTAAATGAGACGCGCATGGGGATGTCCTCACCTGAAACTTCTACTGAGATGGCTGCTGCGATGACCCTCAGAGTCACAAACACCAAGAGTAAAGTGGTCATAGTTCACCTGGAAGAGAGGGGAACAGAGATGTCATTCGGAGGTTCAGATACAGTGAGGTTGAGGGTCATGTGTCACGTGACAAGTGTGACAAACTCCTCATCCATGGATCTGAAATAACATCAAATAAGGAGGCTAATTTTTAAAAAGTGATAATGATTATACTTGAACAATGGCTTTATGGATAATTTTATTTTGCACTTTGGATTTTTTTTCATGTTTTATAAAAGTGTCTATGATAAGCATGTATAGCTTTTGTGATTAAATAAAACAACAGATATTTATCTAAAGAGCTATAAAGAGTCAGACACGAATGAGTGACTTAGTGTATACATACATACACACACATTAAGGATTATAAAATACCCTCAACTGATTTACTGTTTATCTCACCTATGTGACTGCAAAGGAAAATAAAGAGATTTTATTGGAAAAAAAAAAAAATAAGGAGGCTGCTTTGTGATCTGAGAGATATCTTCTCCAAGAATCCTGTCTTCATAAAACCTTCATGGATTCCTTAATTACTGGTGTGAGGCTGTAATTAAATTTATCTCCTCCTGTTTTTTCTAGGGAACCTCTCATCTTCTAACCAGTAAAGTTTCATCCTAAAGGATCCCTGGGATGGTTGATTTTATGTGTCAACTTGACTGGTCCATGAGGTGCTCAAATATTTGGTCAAATGTTATTCTGGGTGTGTCTGTGAGGGTGTCTTGGGCGGAGATGAACATTTAAATCGGCAGACTGAGTAAGTAGAGCAGATGCCCTGCCAGTGTGGGTGGGCCTCACCTAACCAGCTGAAGGCCTGCATTGCCCCAAATGGCTGACCCTCCCCTAAATAAGAGATAATGTCTCTTGCCCGATGTTCACCAAACTGCCTTCAGACTTAAACTGAAACATTGCTTCTTGTTGGTTCAAGGTTTCACACCCTGGCTCTCTAGCTTGCCAAGTCAAAGTGTTAGTCACTGAGGTGTGTCCAACTCTTTGCAACTTTATGCTCTGTAGCCCACCAGGCTTCTCTCTCCATGGAATTCTCCAGGTGAGGATACTGAAATGGGTTGCCATTTCCTCCTTCAGGGGAATCTTCCTGACCCAGGGGTTGAACCTGGGTTTCCTACATTGCAGGCAGATTCTTTACCATTTGAGCCAATTTGTTACCTTGCCAAAAACCTTCATAATCATGTGAGCCAATTCCTTAGAATAAATCTCTTTCTATATGTATATGCACAACCAAATAGTTCTGTTTCTCTGGAGAACCCTGACTAACACAGTTCCCCAGGCCCAGAAAAGTGACACGAGTTACCCCATCTCCTTGATGAAATCTGAACCTGCCATCAACTTCAAATTCAGGAATTTGTGTGTTTTAGGACAGAGAATGTACCAAGATTTGGGGCACAATTCAGGGGTCTCATTCAAGTCAGGGGAAGGATGCTAACCCAGATTGCTCTGTGGGGTATGTGCTAAGTCGACTTAGTCATGTCTGACTCTGTGACCCTATGGACTGTAGCCTGCCAGGCTCCTCTGTCCATGGGATTCTCCAGGCAAGAGTACTGTGTGTTGCCATTCTCTCCCCAAGGGGGTCTTCTTAACCAGGGCTTGAATCTGCCTCTCTTACATCTCTTGCATTAGCAGGCGAGTTCTTTATCACTAGCACCATGAGAGAAATGACAGCCCAGGACCCCTGAAGCAACCCCTGTTGGCCCAAACAATGACTTCCTATGAATTAGAGAAACAAACTTTCCTTACTGTCTTCTGTTGGAAAACTGTCCCACAAAGTATACTAATTTGTGATGACAAAACATAAAGGGAGCCCCCTGTGTAACTGGAACCCTGACTGAGTGGGCCAGAGTACTCAGACCTCAAGAAGACCCATCTGAACTTACAAGAGATCAACCAGAGGGATGGTTCTCAACTTGGGCTGCACACTGAAGTCACCTGGGCTTCAGCCTGGTCCTCAGACATTTTTAAAGCTCCCTAGATGGTTCCAAAGTGTGGCCAGGGCACCGCTGCCTAGAGTATGCAGTCACACTGCGGACACTTGTGACCTGCACCCCATGACACGTGCCCTAAAGACAGGAAGGGAGCTTTCACAGGCTGAGTGCAATGCCCAACTGAGGCTGCAGCCAGTGGCCCTGACCTGGACTCTGTCAGTGTCTCATGACCCAGTAGGAGTCTCTGCTGACTCAGTTACCATCAGCTGTGGCTGGACGGATTTGAGGATGAGGGGCTCTGAGGTTCTCACCCTTAGACTGTGGGGAAGGGAGTGGGTAGGGCCAGGACTCTGGGGACCCTCGTGGGTGATCCCAGTCTGTCATTCTTTAAATTTTTTTTTTCTTTTTAGATGTATATATTTTTTTTTTTTGGCTGTGCTGGGTCTCAGTTGCAGGATCTTTATTTGCGGCATGTGGGATCTAGTTCCCTGACCAGCGATTGAACCCAGGTCCCCTGAATTGGGAGTGCAGAGTCTTAGCCGCTGGACCCCAGGGAAGTCCCTTAGTTTGTTGCTTGAGTGATCTTTCCACAGCTATCCATCATTCATTCCACATACAGTGGGCACTTGAGAAATGAAAGGGTTGTCTGTGTGGGTGCTGCTGGGGACTCAGAGATGAAGGTGTGAGGCACAGGATGAGTAGGAAGTCTGGAAAATTCCGAAGGCTTAAGAAGCAGCTCCTAGCTTCTCCTGAGGGATTTTTCTCCTTAGAAGCTGCCTTAAAAAAAAAAAATCTCTGGAACTCCAGGTTCTGGCTCGTGAGGTGCCTTTTCCTCAGGCCCAGTGTGATCCCTCACGGCCAAGAACTATTCCTCCGGAGGCTTAAAGGGTCAGGTGTCTCCTCCTCTGTGAGGAGGGGCTAGACTTGCAGGGCCCTCTCTTCCTAGAGCCTCAGGGAAACTGTGTGCAGACACAAGGCCGCCTGTTCTTCTTCCCTCAGAACACCCTTCACTGGGAAGTTCTCTGTATGTTTTCGGAGTTGTGTTTCTTCCCTCACTTTCTGAACAAGCCTGACGTTGTCCGGGAAGCAGCGGTTCTCTGTGGGGCTTGAGTCTGCTCTGTTTTTCTCCCTGGCTTCGGCCGGGAATGAAAAGGGCAGGGAGTGAGCATTGGTAGTGGTGGTGGGTGGGGGGGATGGGTTGTGGGCAGAGAAATTAATTTTACTTCGTCTTCTTTTTTTTTCAAGACAAACTTTGGGATAGAAATATCGTAATAAATATGCTCTTGTGTTTGTGTGTGTTTTCTCAGCTGTAAAGAAAATAGGGAGAAATTCCATTCTGTCTGGATTCCAGTGTGTCCGGGCCTCACTGAGCCGTTATGTGAGGAGATGGACTCTGCCAGTCCCCACAACAGGGCGGCCTTTCTGCAGGGGAAGCGGATCTGGGTGGTGGCGACGGGATTGGGAGGCTGGGGCTGAGGACAGGGGAAGGGGCTGTCTAAAGTGGAGGGAAAGAGGGACTTGAGGAGCGGGTGAAAGTTGGAGGGTCTGTGCAGAGCTTCTGTGGGATCCATGTGAGTGAGGTTGGGCTCATTACCAAGGAACTGGCTTTTTCAGGACAGAATTATTAGGAAGTTTGCTGGGGGAAAGAAAGTGTGCTAGTGATTTGAACCTGAGCTCAGGCCATGTGTGTGTATGTGTGAGAGACAGACAGACAGACACACACACACACACACAGACCCATAGTTGAACGTATGGAAACCCTCCACCACCTGAGCAGTTAGACCCTATCCCATGGCTGCCAACCTAGTCAGGGCTTTGACCTTTCTTCCATCAGATTATGGGGTGGAATGGGAGGGGCTCGCCTGCTTGCCCTGAATTCTTATTCTGGCAACATGCAGTGGAGACCCCATTATGTGAGGAGATGGACTCTGCCAGTCCCCACAACAGGGCGGCCTTTCTGCAGGGGAAGCGGATCTGGGTGGTGGCGACGGGATTGGGAGGCTGGGGCTGAGGACAGGGGAAGGGGCTGTCTAAAGTGGAGGGAAAGAGGGGCTTGAGGAGCGGGTGAAAGTTGGAGGGTCTGTGCAGAGCTTCTGTGGGATCCATGTGAGTGAGGTTGGGCTCATTACCAAGGAACTGGCTTTTTCAGGACAGAATTATTAGGAAGTTTGCTGGGGGAAAGAAAGTGTGCTAGTGATTTGAACCTGAGCTCAGGCCATGTGTGTGTATGTGTGAGAGACAGACAGACAGACACACACACACACACACAGACCCATAGTTGAACGTATGGAAACCCTCCACCACCTGAGCAGTTAGACCCTATCCCATGGCTGCCAACCTAGTCAGGGCTTTGACCTTTCTTCCATCAGATTATGGGGTGGAATGGGAGGGGCTCGCCTGCTTGCCCTGAATTCTTATTCTGGCAACATGCAGTGGAGACCCCCTAGGCCTGGGTCCCAGTCCTGCTCGGCACCTCCTGCTTTAATAACCCAAGATCCCACTCCATGGCTATTTCAGAGACTGAGCGAGAGAATGTGCCAGGCAGACCCGGCTTCTGGAGGGCGGGGGCTGTGTCTCTGGCTTGGCGGCCAGCCCGGGGTCTGGCACTCAGCAGGCATCCGTCAGCACCACTCTCCTCCCTCCTCCCAGCGTCAGGCCTGGGTGAGCCTCTCAGAATGTGGGACTGGAAGAGAGTCTAGTGGTTACAGGGAGGCTTCTTGCCCTGGGATGAGGCTTGGATGAGATGATTTTCCATAAAGGATAAAACTGCCTTTGCCAACATCACCACCCTACCACACATTTGGAAAATAAGAAACTAGAGAAAATAAATCACCATCATCCTCCATCCTAATCCAACCATTGTTCGTGTTTTGATAGTTCTCCTTCTGGTTTTTTTCCTTAGGCATCCACTTGCGTTTCGTGGAGTTGTAATCTTTTTGCATCCTGTTAGCTTTTTCCACATAGCATGGTGGATCAAATGACTTGGTTTTTGTTCCTTCAGGACTGATGGATGGCTTTGGGGCTGTACAATCACGACCTCGCTGCTTGGAATCCTGTCTATATGGCTGAGGCAG